GGTCATGCATCAGAGAACGCGTTGATAGTCGATTCCGATTCGGCGAGCCGGCTACCGAGCGACGGCGACACCACGTTCCGCCGGATGATACCTATTTAGCTGGTCGAAATAATACCGGCAGAATTGGAGCACCGCCACTTTCCACCAATGTTCCCAACTCCGTGCCTGACAGACACGTTTGCCAATTTCGCACTGAAATTAGACGGCAAGAGAAATCTTGGCGGCAAGCTTCTAGAATCGATTCATCGGGATCATAAAACTCCTGTATTTCCGGGGAGAATTAAGTTGATTTTCGAAAGCTTCTATTTTGACAAGATTTTATAAAGATATGAATTAAGTTGTATAAAGAGATGAATTAATTCAGTTGCATAAAGATATGAATTACTTAAATTTGTATAGAGATTAAGTTGTATAGAGATATGAATTGACATATGAATTAAGTTGATTTTTGAAACTTCCATTTTGACAAAGCTCGTTTTATGAAGATATAAATTCAGTTCAATTAATATATGAATTCAGTTGATTTTTGAAGCTTCTATTTTAACACTTCCCCCCGTTTTTTGTGAAGATATGATTATGTTTATATGAATTAAGTTGATTTTCGAAGCTTCTATTTCGACAAGGGTCGTTTTATAAAGATATGAATTAGATTGTATCAAGATATGAATTAATTGTTTAAGATATGTTGTTATAGGTTGTATTAAGATATGAATTACTTAAGTTTGTATAGATTAAGTTGTATAGAGATATGAATTGACATATGAATTAAGTTGATTTTTGAAGCTTCCATTTTGACAGAGCTCGTTTTATGAAGATATTCTTTTACAAGATATAAATGTACTTTAGTGTTTTAATATTTTTTATTTATTTTGAAACGAAGAACAACGTCCTCACGTAAGTGAAAACATTTTTCTTCTCAATGATGTTATAAATTGTGTAGAAACATTGAAAAATTTTCGTTATGAAGATTAAAGTCCCACCTTTGCAACGACCCTTCAAAATTTGTGCCATTTTTTTTATCACTTATCAAAGACTGAGATTAAACGAAAAATCTAAGAAATCCTAATATTTCGTCCAACCTCAACGTTTCAAATCCAATAAAATGATGGAAAAGAGTCATAAGGCGAGTTTTAAGGGGTGGTTGTAAACAGAAAATTTCAATCTCTAAGATCACGGCAGATTTAGCCACGAACAGAATTTTTTTTTAACGTTTCCACGCGCGTTTGAATTTTGACCATTTATTATTAGCAAGAATTAAAACTATAATCACCGAGATCGTGCTCTAAGTATATTTAGATGTACACCTAATATTATTAAATCGCGTAGCGTATAAATGACGGCCTATGATCGAAGGTTAGCCAAAAATGAAAGTTATTTTTAACCCATCCGCCATTGAAACTGCATCGCGCGTGAAACGTTCCGAGCATCTTTCGAGAGATTTCCTTTTCGAGTGGTAAAAAAAGAAAGTACAAAATTCCTAACGGAAATGAAAAAGAAAAAAATACCGTTGTGCTCGCGCTTTAACCCCTTGCGCTGGCAACTGTTTCGCGGACCATAACGAGTGACCGAACCGTACATAACAATTCGTCGCTTTCTTTTTCTTTTGAACTCGTCGGTATGATATCACTGGATAGAAATTATTAAGAAGTAATAGACTTATCATTTGTTCTGCCTTTACATTTAATTATACTTAAAACTAAAAAAATGCAATTTCGGACAAAAAATTCTCGACGTGCGTGGCACGTCGTTCCAGCGCAAGAGATTAATGTGCAAGATATGTTGTGCAAAGAAAAATGATGGATTAAAATACTGTAAATACTAAATAGTAAATACTAGTAATTACTAATGTGTAAATATTAAGTAGCAAATAAACGTGTAAACACTAGATAATAATATCACGATTAACCCCTTGCGCCGGCAGCTGGTTTGCGGACCATAACGAGTGACCGAACCGTACACAATAATATCGTCGCTTTCTTTTTCTTTTGAACTCGTCGGTATATGATATCACTGGATAAAAATTATTGAAAAGTAACAAACTTATCATTTGTTTTGCCTTTACATTTAATTAATATACTTAAAACTGAGAAAATTCAATTTCGGACAAAAAATTCTCGACTTCTTGCATGGCACGTCGTTCCAGCGCAAGAGGTTAAGAGATTAATCGCCTCGTGTAAGGAACGAGGGTAAAAGAAACACTGGTTATCTCTAATTACTAAGGCAGAATTACTAAAGTTGCTGAAACCGAGGCGAGCTGATTAATTGCATTGATTAAACGGCGTTTCAAGTGGACGCCCGCTGGCTCCGCTCCGGAGAGTCGCCGGATAATTTCCTACAGAGAGCTGTTTTCATTCAGAGAGCTTACGCGCTCCTTCCTTCTCCACGGAAGCCGCTCCTTCTTCATTAAAAATGAAACGCTCCTCGCTTTCCGTTTTTAAACGCGACCGCGGTACACCACTCGGTGTTGCGTGTCTATCTGTGGCTGCGTGTGCGTGCGGCAGTCTACGATTAGGCTAGCTCGAATAGTTCGTCAATGATTCAACGACCGTTACCGACTCGATCCGGAAACGATTTTCTCCACTTCCACGCGCTTCTTTCATCGCGACAATACGTACTTTCGTACAAACTAGTTCGATTAAACGTGATCGGCAATTCCGTACACAAAAAAGTACAATGGATTTGGAGATTGAAATTTTTCTTTTTTACAACGGTTTAAGGATAGGTTTAGGTTACTTGATGTACGATTTTTTTTCTTCATCGTTTCATCGAACTTTGAATATTAGACCTACGTGACGAAAATTCGAGAAATTGTAACATTTTATGTCGTTTACAAGTTCAATATATTAAAATAAAAGGATCATACAATAAGTATTGAGATGGCGTTATTTAAAAACTTATTTGAAAATCCATCGTAGATTCAGTCGCGAAGAAAATTTTTCAACGATTTTACAATAGTTTGTATTTTTTGAGAAGAAAATCTTCACTTTGCCATCTGTCACGTAGTCTAAACATGTGTTAAAATAAAAAGGAAGTTTAAAATTAAAAGATCTTACAGAGTTATAACATTCTGATTATATTATAGTATAGAATATGTGACATGAATTTTTTATATTCTCTTATTAGTATCGTAGGTTCTACCTATTTAATTTTTGATCCAATTACATTATAATTTTTAGTATTTTAAATATATATATATATATATAAATTATAATTTTATAGTTAGTTAACTGTATGACAAATTAGAAGCAAATAAGTATTAATCTCATTATCGAAAAATAAGTTCCATTAGATCCTTTTTTTGAATCCTGAGAACCGAGAGAGAGAGAGATTGCTTTTTGATATCAACTTTTAACCTCATTTTAGCATATTACACGTTGCAAACGAGATAACGCGCACTGAATTTGCGTTTATTTATATGTGTCTTGAAAGTAGAATTATATCGTAAACTGGTATACTTACAAACAGGTTAAATCCGAGTCTGATTCTTCCGACGTTACGCATGAATGACAAAGTGATACATTTGCAGACTGTTCTCTGCATATATGGTTTTTACGTTTAAAACAAGTTTGCTCGGGTTTTGGTTGTCATATTTGGTTTTAACTAGTTCATGAGCTAACTCTTGTAAAAAAATACAATTCTATTTGTCTTCTATTTGTCTCTGAGTTGTTTCTCTCTGTGCGCAGTGTTTCTCACGTAGCAATAGAGGAAACTAATAGTAATTATGAACGTGTATACGTATACAACAAACAATTTTTTGCAAATTTTCTGCACAAAGGAAATAGTATCGATTCAACGTTATCTCGACAAAGAAGTTCCAGGGTCGATCTTTAAAATCTCTTATTATAAATAAATTTCTAGAGACAATTTTGTACCTTGGTGGTGGTACAAATTTTAAAATATAAGTAAATCTCTAGAGACAATTTTGTACCTTAGTGGTGGTACAAACTTTAAAATATAATCTGGAGAGATTTATTATAAGTATACTTCTAGAGACAATTTTGTACCTTGGTGGTGGTACAAACTTTAAAATATAAGTAAATCTCTAGAGAGATTTATTATAAATAAATTTCTAGAGACAATTTTGTACCTTGGTGGTGGTACAAACTTTAAAATATAAGTAAATCTCTAGAGAGATTTATTATAAATAAATTTCTAGAGACAATTTTGTACCTTGGTGGTGGTACAAACTTTAAAATATAAGTAAATCTCTAGAGAGATTTATTATAAATAAATTTCTAGAGACAATTTTGTACCTTGGTGGTGGTACAAACTTTAAAATATAAGTAAATCTCTAGAAAGATTTATTATAAGTAAATTTCTAGAGACAATTTTGTACCTTGGTCTGTACCGCACCTCACGTTTTACAGAGTACGTCTCAAAGTGCAGGAAATCTCGTAAAGTTGCTCAAAAGAATCGATGACGTTTACGGTTAACAGACACAAGCATAGTACGTGCATAGATGTACATATGTACGTATCTCCAGTGGCGGATCTCGCGTCCGTGCTACCACATGCAAATTTAGCAATACCAGACCTTGAATTGTAAATTATCGATTCTGATTAATCGCACTGATACACTTGCACGCTCTTTGAGTATTCGCCTCTATCTTTCGAGCGAGTAAAGTAAGAATCGAAGTTTCTTTGGAAAAAGAAAAAAAGATAACAAGCTGAAAACACGACTGATATCGATAACAGACAATACGAGTTTTGGCTGAAACTGATAAGCGTTGAGATAAAAATCAGCGATATCATCGGCGCGAATAATAAAAACCGAGAGAATTCATAAAACGCAATAACACGCTAGTGCATGACTCGACTGGTAGAAAAAATACCAACACACTGAAGTGAGAGAAGAGCCAGAAGAAAAAAAGTTGAAGAAAAATACGCCTAACAATAAGTCTGAATGTGAATGAAAAGAGACTTGCGATCGATTGATCGAATTTGCAGATTCGATTACAAACGACGTCGACGAGAGAAAGAGGAAGAGAAACGGATACGAACCTGTAGAGGTCATTTTCAGTGACGATGTCTCGGATGGAGTCTTCGGGATCGATGCGATCCGCTAGAAAACCCGGCGGTCCAGCAACCCTCGAGGACAACAAGGGGCACGCTGGCTTTACGACAGAGTCAGTGGCCTCGTGGAGGGCGCTGGCCGCGATAAGGTCGTCCTCGGACGCGGTGCTGGGCAGAGGCACGTTAGGGCTCGGGGACCGCGAGCCGGAGATTACGCCGAGTAGATCCTCGCTCCTCGAATGTCTCATTTCCATAGCGCCGTATCTTCCGGTAGTGGTCATCATCCTTCTTTCACCGAATCACTGTAACGCGTCCGATTCTTCCGCGACCCGATTAGAGGACGACAGCTGCCTTCTTCACCTTCGTTCCCGTTGCCACAACGACCACGACAGCCCGTAGGAACCGACCACCGTCTAATCGTCGCTACTCCCATTCGGACTGGCCTCCTCTTACTACCTTTTAGCAAGCAGCCGACTCGCCAGAGAACCACGGTACACCGATTTTCATCTCCGAGATGATATTTTCCTTCTCTCTCTGGTTCTCGTGTTTCGCCACTTCGTCGCTCCTTCTTCCACTTGCCGCGATTCACTCTACCACTTCCAACGATCCAGCGCACCGATCCTCCGCTGACGATTCCTTCTTCGTTTCGCGGCCACCAACCAGAATTTTCTATTGCCTGCTACTACCTCCGCCTTTCGTTCTAGTTCACCGGCTCTCCTTATTTCCGATTTCTCTCCGCTTCACTTCTTTTTTTTTTTGCAAACGTTTCCGTAGAATAGATCGTCGTGTAGCATAATCGCTACGAACGAGAAGGGACGCTCGGCCGACGAAAACTTTCTCGATCTCCGGCGCGGACAAGCGCGCACGCATCGACCAAGCGAGCACCGAATACCACCGAGGGTAACGGGGACCTATCACGCGTCAACTATCCGTTACGCAGTATATTCGCACGTTGCTACCTATCGTCGACCACATCGCCGTTTTCCCCGGTTCTTCTTTTCCTTTGATCCACTTCCATTCAGAGACGTCGTTCCCACGAGTTATCCAGGAGGCGTCACGATCCGGGATTGCACCATTTGCAGGATCAACAGGACCCTTCTTCCACCTCCTTCGTCACGGGCGAATCCACTGGTTCTCACACGAACGCGCAACAAATCACGGAATCTAATTCGCCCAATGCGATTCGAGGTCCGCCATTTTCCGTTAGATTCTGTCAATGTTGCGTTGCACCGTGGTGCCTCTCGAGGAACACCGAAACACCAAGGCAGAACGGCGAGCAGCCTGCTTTTCGTAATTAAAGTAATTAGAAAAAATGAGGGTGGCTCTCCTACTCGGCGGATCATGCGCGGTGAACACGCGACGCACGTCAGTGTGTACCCTGGGAGCGTTCACTTCGGCACTCGAACACGACGTATACGCAAGGATTGATCGCCTTTTCTTTCGAGACTTTTGTGTTTCAAGCGAATTCTCCGCACACGCTGGGTGCTCCACGGCCCCCCGCCAGATTCGCTGGTTTTCCCGGCGTTCCGCCTTTCTTTCGCCGGCCACGACTCAAGTGCTGCCGTAACGGGAACCGACGAAGCCGCTTTGTCCTTCCGCGAGGAAGGGGCACACGGGAAAGGATACACACATATACTACCTGCGCTCTTGCGCGCTCGCCGCAGGTACATTGTGACATTGGTTAACGAACACGGTTGTCTCACCGCTGGGAACGGGTCACGTGACAACGACACGGGTACAATCATCCTTCAGCCTTCCCTCTTCGATTTTCGTCCAATTAGACAAACCGCGGTTTTGCAGTCACTCTTTTCGAAAGTACCGCGTCTTTCTCTCGGCGCCATCGAGACGAACACGTCACCGCATGACGTCTGATCTGTCCAATCGCTTTACACGTCCCTTCCAAATCTCGCGACTTTTTGCGCAACGTGTTTCTAATAGAAACGAAAAAAGGAAGATTAGTCTCTGCTGACTAGGTTTAAGTACTCTGATTGCTTGGTGCGATCCAACGATAATAATTGTAATTAGCGTGTTACACCGTGACGAAACATCGAACCGATTGTCAGCCGTATCTTGACACCAAATATCAACAGCGTGAACATTAGTCAACGTCCAAAATTTTCATTTTCATTTACCGACCTTACCACGGCAGGCAAAGTGATGCGTATAATTCCCCTATGTATTCCCTAGGATGGTTATTTCTGTATTTTCTACTTGTACGGGCGAAAAAGTCCTCTGTGGAGTTATTGACTGTTGAAAAATGAAGTAAATTTGTCAAAGTTGTTATTAATAGGTCGAAATCTTTGAGAATTCGGCAAGTGAAAAATTTTTATTTTTCTGTTGTCTGAATTTTTTTTCGTAACAAATACTCGAACTTGCTAACTAATAAATTTCAATTTCGTGTTCACGTTGTTACCATTTTTTTCACTACGACGAGAAAATAATAAAATATACGAAAATACGAACGAAATATTTTATTTGTATAAAAAATATAAATGAAAATACGAAAATAAAATATTACAATAAATAATATAATAATATAATAAAATTTAAAACGTTGATTATTTATTGGTTATCTTTGTAGATAACCACGTAGAGGGCACACCTGTATTGTTTTCAAGTATTATTTGTACCGTGTTGCAGAGCGGCAGTTTTGTTCCCGCTATTTCTCAATGAAATAGGGACAACGTTGCATTATTATTTTTATTTTTTAATTATCTCGCATCTCGCCAACACTCTCGCATTATGACGAGTTCTGTTAGTACAAATCCATCAACGTTGTTGCCTCTAGGTACGACGAGTCATTTTGTTTACTGTTTATTCCTAACCTTGTTCCTTCTAACGCGAACTGTCATATTACTGTGGTTAATTTTCAGAATTAGTTGACAAATGCATCGGTTCTCGAATACACATCATTATGAAGAACGATAAAGAAATTGTCGGCACCTTGTTGGGTTTCGATGATTTCGTGAACATGTTGCTGGAGGATGTGACAGAAAGTGAAGCAACCCCGGAAGGACGAAGAGTCACTAAGCTTGATCAAATATTACTCAATGGAAGCAATATCACAATGGTTAGTAGCGTTTCTTTTTCTTTTCTGCTTTGAAGAAAATTATTTATTAATTTGCTATATTTGTACAAGAAATTGTGTTTTGTTTCAGCTTGTGCCTGGTGGAGAAATGCCCGATACATAAAAAAGTAATTATCTTTGTTATATTTTGTACAATAAAAGTTTCAACGTATACGTGTAATTTATGCGTATTTATGCTACGGAATATTAAAAACATCTGCCAAGTACTACAATACAATTAAAATAAATGTTAAGGGCAAATTAATACATCGATTGTAGTTATTACTTTGTTGATCGTTGGTCTAGCAGTAGCATTCTGCGACCACATCTGTTTATACAATGCTTTATAAACACCTTGAGATTCATCATCTGTATTATCGTCCGCAGGACGATACCCTTTTGCAGAAAGATAAATAATCGCGTGACTGTGCAATCCAGCAAATGGCAATTTTCTAGATAACATTTGCCAAGCCACGATTCCTAAAGAATAAATGTCTGCCGCAGGGGTTAATTTATTTTCCTTTATTACTTCTGGAGCGGCATATCCTGGTGTTCCCTAAGAAAAAAATTTTCATTCTTAAAATGATAAGAATGATCGGGCAGTGGTGGTAGAAACGTACGTGAAATTTATCAATTTCATTTGATTCTTGTATCAAAACAGAACTACCAAAGTCGGTGAGTTTCGATTGGCCATTCGCAGACATTAGTATATTTTTTGGTTTCACATCTGCGTGAACGATACCAGCATTATGACAGAATTGCAAAGCACAAGCTACATCCTTTAATATGCAATTTCGTTTGGCTCTGTTCAAGATCGTTTCGTCTAGGTAATCTTGCAAAGTGGTACCACATAATTCCATTGTTATTAAAGACAGAGAAGCACCTTGTTCTATCATTAACACTTTTACTATATTCGAATGCCTTAGCAAAGAAGCACGTTTTTCACGTATCAATGTGCTGGAACATTTTTCTGTTTGCATCACTTTAGCTGCCACTTGATTACCTATCAAATACACAGCACGGTCAAGTATATAGAGTTGTGATAATTTGTTCGAGCAAACCATGAAAAATAGATTTTACCTTTATACGAAACTTTGTACACAGTACCAAATCCGCCACTTCCTAGAAACGTACCAATTTTAGTGGGTAGACCATTTTTTAATATCTTTTGCCTATTAGGAGTGTCGATGTTAAAAGGAGACAGTTGATTTTTGCTTTCAACAACTTTTCTATACGACTCTCTTGTAGGAGTTGTTGCAGTTAGAAAAGTTCTACGACGATACAATATTAATTTGCTTCTTTAAATAAGTTTAACATTACATTGCTTCAGTGTTGCATTACCTTTCTTCCACGTTTCTTAATATCCTGGGTGATATGCTATGCAATTTTGTTACTAATTTCCGAGGTGAAGCCATTTTGTACATAAGAATAACATACTTGTGTATAATTTCTTGATACTTCAATCATAACGAAAGTAAATATTTTTTTTCATGTGTCATGAACTTGAAGTAAATATTGACAAGGTAAACGTCGGAGGATAATGAATAAATACGTAAGTAACAGTGGCTACAAATATTTGAATTATAAGGATGTAATTTAAAAAAAAAACTATAAAACAGACAGGAGAGAAATAAGATATTTTATTTGTTTATTTTCTAATATAAGGCATAAATCATCTGCTAGAAGTCGGTTGCTAATTATTACTTTTTAATACTGTGTGATAACTAGATTATTTACAATTCTTTTATGAACTCATAACAATTCATACTGATTTTGATATTTTTTAATATATAAGTAATATCAGTAGCATGTATGTAATAACATATTAATGTACTAGACAGTGTTTAATGAAACTCCGTGTTAAAAATTTCATGCTAATAGTACATGTTTGTAAGTACTGCTGATGTTTGTTCTTACAATTCTGGACCTCTATCACAATTATACAGCACAATGTGTTGTTGATTTATACTTTTGTATAAATAAGTAATAATAAGTAATGAAAATATATATATATATATATGTATATATATGTACATTTTCATCTTTATGGAAATATTAAAGATTAGGATTGAATGTTATGTAATCAAGTATTTCAGCAGATTAGCAAAATATTTTAACCAATTAAAATAGAATGTCTTTCTTCTTTTATAACAGCATCTAAAATATTTTAGAGATTTTCATTTTTATTGCACGTATTTAACATACGACGATTTTATTATCATTATCATTATCGTTATCATTATCATTATCGTTATCATTATTATTATTATTATAGCTTGGTCTTGTTTAAAGTGTAGAAATTCGATATTTCTAGAACATTAACTATTATTGTAAAAATAACAATTACCAAAAAAATAGTATCAATACTGATCATTTCTTATATTGGAAATAAAAATATAAGTAAAGGTGAACGTTTAAAATGAGTTTACCACTCATTTAGTCTCGCTGACGAGATAATTTTGCTTATATATATATTGTCTTCAAATAAATAGACGACGATAAATTTAAATAAACACTGTTCGAAGTAAATACGGTTTAAAGTTAATCTAAACTTTGTGTTGCTTGTACCTTTCGATAGCTCTTATATACTCGCATCAAAATATTTTTTTTTTTTTTCTGGATCTAACAATGATATCAGGTACTTCTCTATAGATGTGTATTTAGGAGTACCCCTTCTTTATGACAGTTTAAATATATTTATACTATTTTTACAATCAGATGTGTTTCGCAAATGAGGAGAACACGTGAGACAATTTCCAACGTCATATAACGTTATGACTCTCAAAAGATACTGGTAAGTATTCATGTACAAGACAAACGAGCTGTTGCATTTTAAATCTTATTTATAACACGAAGAATCGACCCTACAGCGTTGCCAATGACGTTACGAATATAACGTTTCTATTATCTAAAAAGCTCTATTCGTGGAAAGCTTTTCATAAAAGAAGAAAAAATCTCGCCGAGAAAAGAATTGCCTTTCAACTGACGGAATAAGAAAATTTCACAAGTCGAAATAAGTACGTGTATAGTTGAAATATAGTGAAATCTGTCTGTAACGTTCAAGTTTGTTTTCAAGATGTTTATAAAATATTATTTCCATCTGTAGGAATAGTGATTAACGTTAGAGCACGTATATCGACGGATATTGCTAAATGATTGTAATTCATCGCAGCACGTCGTCGTGTTACTAAGTTACGGTCCTAAAAAAAAAAAATTATAATGTAAGATTTGTAACATCGATTCGATGAGGACAACTAGTGACGACTCTATTCGAACATTTTCTCCTTACAAAAGATTCAATTTTCATTCGCCTACGTTACTTCTGCATAGACGGATCAGCACCATTTTGTGATTTACGACCTTTTTGATTTGGCACTTTGGCATCTCGTGCCTTTACGCCTAAATTTTCCTGAGCAACGTGTCGTTCATCGCCGTTCGTTCAACGTCGAGGCATTCAGAGGCACCTTTTTCTACCACCAAATCGAGAAGAAGAGACGAATCTCAAGTTTCGCTTACGAATATTATCGGATAGGTGTATAGGTACCGAATATCATCCTTTGCCTTTTATTTGTTTATTTATCTCTCGGCGAAAGAAAAGTTACACCGACATCTAATTCATCTATACTGAAACTTAAGGAAATGTCAATTTGATAAGATTTCACTGTTCGAGTACCTGCTACACGTATCCCAACCGTAACGCGCAACAACATGTCTTCCCGTGTCATCTCGCTGATATCGTTTATCGATTATTTACAAATTCTGCAGTACAAAATAATTTTTTGTAATTTAACAAGTTAACACCACCGTCGGGGATCAGAGAGAACCCTTTCTTACTTATCCCTTATCCCTACGTCTTCTCTTAATTCATTGGTATACATACATATTTTCTCTTCTTTTTTTTCACGAAAATAGATTCTTTTTTTTTTTTTTCTTTTTTTTCTCTCGCGCTAGTACATATTCAGAATCGCTCTGAAACGTGATATATAGGACTTTGTAGTCGACCAGAAAGCACGAACAAAATCTTTGGAGAGGTGGAGCAGGAGGAGGGCAGAAGGAGAGAGGAGAGGGAAAGAAAGGAAGGTATGCGCTGGAGGAGAGAGGTATTTATCGGACAAGTCGAATAAGGCACTACACCTAACCAGGTAACGGAGCTTCCTCGTAGAAGTCTGGCTCGTCCTCGGTACTCTCGTGTTCCGATCCTTTGCTGTCGAGTGCCCGTAGCTCCGCGGCGGTAAAAAAGTGGGTCATCTGAGCCCGTAGAGGTATCATGAGAATCAGGAAGAACGGAAGCGCCAGGGCGGCCCTGGTACTCTTCACCACCCACAGTGTGGCCAGGCACAGGATTTGTATGAGGGTGAATATGTGCATCTTGTAGGTCTGCACCCGTCGAACGTAATTGGCCGTGCCGTGGTGTTTCACCGGCATGAAGAACAGCTTCACACGGTCGAACAGTTGGACACCGTTGGTCGAGGAGATGCCCATGTAGAGAAACACACCGAGGAGGACGGACATTGGCACGCGTCGCAACAGCGGCGCCATCAACACGCTGATGCCGATCAGCACGGCGACCAAAAGGGCGCTCACCCTTTGCTCCTTCACCTCGACGATGTGCGGCTTGTCACCGGGTGCGTGCGTGCGTGACATGACCGTCACCGCCGAGACGTGCGTCAGCGATCGGACCGAGGCGGCGCAGCACCACGGGGCGCCCATTAAACCACAGCCGACGTTCATTAGGCACACTACCACTATATCCATGTGGTAGCCGTTACCTTTCCGTAATTTTCGTTCTTTTTTATCGATGATTAGTCTAGCAAAAAGAAAACAAGAGAGAAAGAAAAAAAAAAGGAAAAAAAAGAACGAGGGGAAGGGAGGGAGGGAGGGGCAGATTTTTTTTTCTTTTCTTTAATGAACAAAAAGAAAGGCTCGCCTCGCGAGAACGACAGAGGAGGAGGAAATGGTACTTACTCGGAGATCTGCGTTTCCATGAAAACGAGAATGTAAACCAGCAACGCCGGCACGATGCAAGCCATGGCCATCCACAGGGGGATGGGTTTGTGTATTCCGGCCGGTGACACGATCCAGCTCCTGCCGGGCACGGTCGGCGACAGGCCTTCCGGGACCAACAGCTTCTCCGTCTTCACCTTGGCCAGATAATCGATCAGTACAAACACGATGATGCTGATCGGCACGCCGAAGTCACCGAACGCCCTTCTGGCGCTTCGTCCGAGGTAGTGGCTGTTGCGGAAGATGCGCAAGTAGTAAGCGCCGAGGAACGTACCCAGGCAGAGGATAGTGCACATCAAGGCGGTATTCGGTTGGTTGATCAACAACCCGGCCATGTTGAACGCCGGTATGAGGGTCTGCGGTTTGTTCAACGGAAGGGCGACCGTCTCGCCGGTCTCCGGGGAAACGACCTTGATCTCCGTCACGTTCAACGGCTCTTGATACAACGTGTCGTTCGTCTCCGGGACGAAGCTGTACTCGTCGAGCAGCGGATTCTTCGCGAAGTAGTTGTACAGTTTGACGAACGTCTCGACGATGTACAGGATGGAGATCAAGCCGGTGAAGATCTCCTCGGTGAAACGGGTGAAGAGACGGACCAATACGGAACCTTCCACGCAGGCAATCGCCAGAGCTATGATACCCATCCACGCTCCTACGTAGACTCTCACGGTGAGGAACTCCAACTCGTTCGCCAGGCAAAAGTTGTACAAGCTCTCGTCGAAGAGCAACAGCGGGCCGGTCGTGCCGATGATGACCAACGGCTGAGTGGAGAACAAGGCCATCACCACCCCCGTCCAAGAGCCAGAGACCAGTGTCTCGGAGATGCCGATAACGTTGTGCGTCTTGTCGCTCATCAAGCCGCCGAACGTGATGGCCGTGCACAGCGCGGCGAAGTACATGAAGATGGCCGCCGCGAGGCACGACGAGCTCAAACCGTCGGTGAAGTCGGACAGGTAAAAGGGATAGCGTCTCTTGATGTCGTTAATCAGACCGCCGAACGGTCGCTTGGTTCTTCGAAGCGGATCGTCGTCGCCCGGAGGTTTCTTCTCCTCCTCGCCAGCAAGCAGAGCTACGCGCACAAATTCACAGCGTGCAAATTGTAAATATCACATCTTGTAAATATAATCGACGTACGCACCGTACAGGGTGGAGTATCGTTACGTGACGACATCGAATAACTCGTAAAATATTTGTTGTACGAAAAAATGTTTTCAGGTAGAAGTTGCGTGGCTTCCAGAGGGACGTGTAGTATTATTGCAGTCAGTTTTATGTTACTTTGCTTTTTTATTAACGTACGAATTCTACGTAAAAAAAGTATTACACCAAATGGGGTCTAAAATACATAGTTAACTAAGATTAACAATCTTTCCTAATGCAATGTAAAAAAATATTTTTGCTATTATCTCAGTAACTATGTATTTGAGACCCTATTTGGTGTAATACTTTTTTATTTAGAATTCAACGCTCTAATTTAAAAAATTAAAAGTGACCTCCACACCTTGGTAAAAAAGCAAAGTAACATAAAAGTTTTTTTTATCAAGGTAGGAATTCTACGTGAAAAAACTATTACACCAAATACAGTCTAAAATACATAGTTAACTAAAATTAATAATCTTTTCTATTGCAATGTAAAAAAATATTTTTGCTAATATCTCAGTAACTATGCATTTTAGACCCTATTTGGTGTAATACATTTTTTATTTAGAATTCAACGCTCTAATTTAAAAAATTGAAGGTGACCTTCATACCTTGGTAAAAAAACAAAGTAACAAAAGTTTTTTTTATCAAGGTAGGAATTCTACGTAAAAAAAGTATTATACCAAATGGAGTCCAAAATACATAGTTAATTAAAATTAATAATCTTTTCTAATGCAATGTAAAAAAATATTTTTGCTAATATCTCAGTAACTATGTATTTTTAGACCCTATTTGGTGTAATACTTTTTTATTTAGAATTCAACGCTCTAATTTAAAAAATTGAAGCTGACCTTCATACCTTGGTAAAACAGCAAAGTAACATAAAAGTTTTTTTTATCAAGGTAGGAATTCTACGTAAAAAAAGTATTACACCAAATGGAGTCTAAAATACATAGTTAACTAAGATTAACAATCTTTCCTAATGCAATGTAAAAAAATATTTTTGCTAATATCTCAGTAATTATGTATTTTAGACCCTATTTGGTGTAATACTTTTTTATTTAGAATTCAACGCTCTAATTTAAAAAATTGACCTTCATACCTTGGTAAAAAAGCAAAGTAACATAAAAGTTTTTTTATGTAGGACTCTACGCTTTATCCGAAATTAATTACTCTATCTTTAACTGTTCCATTTAAAAAATTGAAGGTGGCCTTCGTACCTTGGCAAAGAAAGCAAAATAACATAAAACTGATTACAATACTACATGTGTCCCCCCCCCTGGAAGACACGCAACTTCCATCTAAACACTTTTCGTACAACGAATATTTCACGAGTTATTTGATGTCGTCACGTTACCAGACTCACCCTGTACAGTTAAAACGCGACATAGTTTTCCCGGATCATCCATCGTCGACTTACCTTTCTTGACAGCGGCCTCGCTCTGAATAATTGGCTTGCTCTTCTCCTCGAGCGCTTTCGCTTTTCGCTTCCTGATGGCCTCGCTCTTGGCCCTTAGCTCGCCGAACGGCAACAGCGCCTGCCTCTCCCAGTCACCAGGAGGCAGAACGATCGAGTCGTCGAGGAACTCGTTGATCGCTGACAGTAGCTCGCGCCTCTCGTTCGCTTTGTACGCGACTTTATGGAACGACGTATTGGCCATCAGCGTGGCGATCGATCTACCGATTTCGTGATAATCTAGGTCAGCGTTCCTCGGGCCCAGCAACGTGAACATGAATCTTACTGGTATGGTGACTTCGGTGATCGACGGAATGAACACGCCCTCGGCTAGTCGGACGAACGCGATGGTCGGCTGATCGAGGAACTCGACCGCGCCGACCAGCACGACCGTCGCCTCGGCGCCGGCCGGGATCCTCTTCAAGATATAGTCGTTGTGACTCTTCTTCAAGTCCTCGTTGCTGCTCGTGTACGTCAGCTCCTCCTTCATGTCCACCACCGTGTGGTTGCTGTCCAAGGCCAGGTTCGACGACACGATCTTCGGCTTCGCGTCGTTCAGGTTCTACAACGGGGGATGCAACAACAACAACAACGCCGGTTAGAATCGCTCCGCTCCTTCAGACGTTGCGAGAGAGAGAGAACGTATGCATGGATGATGCGTTGCATCACAGGCAGAGCTTTTTTTCAAAAGAAAAAGAAAAAAAGAAAAGAAGGAAATACTTTTGTCCCTAATCGGACAAGCGAGAGAGAGAGAGAGAGAGAGAGAATTTTCCTCGCGCAGAGGCGGATTCGTTTTCCTTTCTGCATTTTTCACAGATCGACTTTTGATCGACACGCTTGCATCGGCTTCGGCTCGAGGAAAAATCACAGACACCCTGACAACTGAGATACATATACACGCCGTGGGAGGATGAGATGTTTCTACTTCGAGTTCGAGAAAACAAGATGTGTGATTACTAAACTGCAACAAGCGCAAAGTTCGTGAAGAAACGGACAGAATGGTGGAACGGGCCATCGAAAAAACGAAGTTCTACGTAATGCAGTAACGACACCAAAAAAGGGGGAACGCGTCACGTGACGTGAGCGTCGAAAGGGAGAAGCTGAGAGTTCAAAAAAAGAAGAAAAAAAAAAAAAAAAGAAGGAAGAAAGAGGGAGAATTTGAATGAGAAAAAGTGCAATCTGGACGTAACGCCTAAGCGATGATTACGATGATGATTATATACACCGTTATACGGCTGCGTGTCAACAGTGTATGTTTGGTATATGAAGTACCAAAAAATGGATATAATAAGAAGCTCGTCGAAATGAAGTATTACAAATGTAGAAAGAAAAAGAGAAAAATGACAAGCCAAAAAAAGGGACAACATATATATATATATATATATATATATACCCATGGACTTACAGGTATCGCGGTAAATACAAATTCACACGGGACAAGCTACAGTTCTATCAGCTCTAAACGGCGAGATGTTATTCTCCTACATCAGATTACTACACATTATCGTCCCTAACTAGCGCTACTGTTAAACACGCGAACGATACGAGGACGTCGCGATTTCCGTCTACGAGAGAATGGACACTGACGCGACTACCCCCTTTTTCTTCGACATAGACATAGTCAAACTATGAGAGAAGATGGGGAAGCGATGGGAAAAAGTTTGGAAGACACACTCATTTCCCCCTGTAAGTTCATGCTGAAAGATGTAAAATATCGGTATGTACATATACAGGTGTGTATGTGTGTGTATGTGTGTGTGTGAGTATATATACATAGGACGTCCCGTTCGAGAATTATCATAATTATCAATTATCTCGTAGAACTATTCGCTGCAGAGAAAAAGTTACAACTTACTTTGCATCGACGTGCTTTCTTTTTAATAAAACTTCACACAGGAAGAAGAATACAACAAACATTGGGACAATACAACTTCAGAGATGGAGTAAAATCAGTGCATCGATGCTCGTGATCGTCGCAAGACAATTATTTTATGTTGAAGATGAGACAGTAAGCTGAATAACCTTGAATAACCTTGAGATATCAACATTCGATAAATTCATCATCTCTCAAAGAAACAAAGATCGCCCTGAAATTTCGGAAGCAGGTTCGCTTAAACCACGATAAAAAAAATATCGAAACAAAGTGAACTTCATTTTTCCCCGCAACAAATAGTTTGGCAGTAATAATTACGCGAAACCTTCGAAACGGGACACCCTCTATATACATATACGTATATATGCGATCGATGGTGGACAAGCCGTAAACTAGCGGTAAAGGTTGAATATTCTGCGTTCTTTTTTTGTTCTTAAATCGGGAAACGAGAGATTTACATGTTGGGTTACATGGTTCTCAGAGGCTTCCCGCGCAGCGTCTTCTTCCTCCAGACAGACGGACTGTGGAAACAACATTAGGGCACACGGTCAGTCAGCTCTCCCGTCTCTACGGATTTCTATTGATTAATTCTCAATCAATTGCATTGGTAATAACAGTTTGCAATAACGCAAAAGCGCTCGACCATCATCATCATCGAGCGACTTTTCATTCAAGCTAACGTTAATCGTGTTAATCTATCGATTCGACTACTCTTTCCTAATTACATTGGAAATTACGTTCGCACCGGACTCTCAGGGAACCACCGCGCGCAGAGACACAAAAGACATTCCCCGTATACGTATTCACGTTGACAGCACGAGAGTGTCGTGTTCACAACAGACAAGTAGTAGATGTAACAACAGAAGCTTAGGGCACGCCGAAGGCAAGGACAGTTACCTGGAGGCTGGTGTAGCTGGAATAATTTCGCTTGCCGCCGAATCGGAAGCCACGATCGTGATCGTGAACGTGCCTGTGCCTGAGAAGCAGGGCCCTCATCACCACCGGCCTATCTTCCGGCAGGATCAGCTCCTCCACCACCATTTGCTCGACAACCCTGTACGCCAGGCCAGGCAGATCCTTCTCCTCGAGATCGAGCAGAACCACGCCGGTCTCCAGGCATCTGCGTAAATTCAGCAACGAGTGGAAGCTCAACGAGGCCACGTGGGGCCTGCCCCATCTGTCCGCCCCCTCCTCCACGTCCTCCTCGTATTTGATCCAACGCGCCGTCTCTCTCCATTCACGCTCCTCGCCGATCCCGTACAACTCGTCCAGCTGGACGAACACCTCGTGCGGCGAGTGATCGTACATCTTCTTGAAGGTGTCGTGCGGTATCCCGCCCTCCTTTCTACGGCCGATCTGCACCGTCGAATGGGCCGTTTTGTGCCGCCTCATTCCCCGCGGGTCGTCGCTCCTGTGCGACTCCAGGTCGTCGATGTCCAGCTCCTGCAGAGTGCTCGCCTCCTCCGGTTGCACGCTCACCCTCCTTGCCAGCACCGCTGGCCCGTCCGGCAGGCCAGCACCCGAGCGTTTCCTCCATTGCGGGTCCTCTTGCAACGAGTACTTCCGCGACTTGTGATGGTGTCTTCTGCAATTTTTAACCACTTCGTTTTAACCTCTTGCGCTGGGACGACGTGCCACGCGCGTCGAGAATTTCTCTGTTTCCCCAAAACTGCAACATTCCCTCGGTTTTAAGTCTATTTAAATGTGACTCGGGCAAGACAAGTGATAAGTTTTGTTACTTCTTAATAATATCTTGACGATGCAACTTGTATAATGATGTGTGGTAATATATTTATAAATCGTAAAATAATATTGTAAATGTATAAATATATTATAAATATGTAAATATATACTCGGGCAAAACACATGATAAGTTTGTTACTTCTTAATAATATCTGACGATGCAACTTATATAATAATGTTTAGTAATATATTTATAAATTGTAAAATAATATTATAAATATATAAATATATTATAAATATTATAAATATATAAATATATTATAAATATATAAATATATTATAAATATTATAAATATATAAATATATTATAAATAATATTATAAATATATAAATATATTATAAATAATATTATAAATATATAAATATATTATATATTTATAAATCGTAATATTTAGATTTCAAATTGTTAATAACCACGCAAGCAATTAATTCGACTTTAACCTCTTCCGGAATGTACCACGCACGTCGATAATTTCTCAAAATTGCAACATTTTTAAGTCTCAGTTTTAAGTCTATTTAAATGGAACTCGGGCAAAACAAATGATAAGTTTATTACTTTATTAATAATATCTGACGATGCAACTTATATAATAATATTTAGTAATATATTTATAAATCGTAAAATATTATAAATATATAAATACATTATAAATAATATTATACATATATAAATATATTATAAATAATATTGTAAATATGTAAATATATTATATATTTATAAATCGTAATATTTAGTTTTCAAGTCGTAAGCTATTGATTCGACTTTAATCTCTTACGCTGGAATGACGTGCAACGCACGTCGAGAATTTCTTGTTCCAAAATTGCAATACTTCCTCAGTTTTAAGTATATTTAAGTATAACACAGGCAAAACAAATGATAAGTTTGTTATTTTTTAATAATTTCTATCCAGTGATATCATACCGACGTGTTCAAAAGAAAAAGAAAGCGACGAATTATTGTATATATGGTTCGGTCACTTGTTATGGTCCGCAAATCAGCTGTCAGCGCAAGGGGTTAATCACTTTCCTACGATAAGTCTGCTTCGTCACTGAACCGAGACCCCCGCGCCAAAAGTATACACAATGATCGAATCATTTTCAGACTATGTTAATCAGAAATTTGAAATAGAATCTTTTTTCGAACATTTTGACGAAATGCTGGAATGCTTTTTTTTAAACAAACTTCAATTTTTTAAAACAGAAATCTAACCTCAAATTTTGTAGGTTATACCTGTAGTTACTTTCCGAATATATACCTTCCGAATTGATGCAGTAGATTAAGAAATGTCGGAAAAGAAAATGTTCCACTGTTGAATCTTTTCCGAACTTTCTGGTAACATTTTGACAAGAGCCTAGAATGTCTCTTTCAATTATTTAATTAAAGAACGTTACTTTTAATCATTAGAGTCCTCTCAGAGTGCAAGGGGTCAAGGTAACATTTTGACAAGGGCCTAGAATGTTTTTTTTTTTTTTTAAACAAACTTCAATTTCTCAAACAGAAATCTAACCTCAAATTTTCAAGAGATCAACAGTTATACCCGTAGCCGGTCTTTTTCCAAAACTGCAATAGATCAAAAAAGATTTTTCATTACAATGACAATTGCTTATCGTATAAATATTCCACTGTCGAATATTGGCAGATGTAGAAAAAAATCTCGTCTCGAAGGCGTCGTATCATGTATTTTTAATGCGTAATTAAATCCAAGATACGTCAATAGATGCCGTGTATATTATGCGCTCGTGAAAGGGTTAAGATGTTCGCTGGCTTGTCAACGTCCGAGAACAATGTACGTCGCAATTACGTTGCACCGGGCTTACATAGCTGAAGTAATTTATATTTCGTTTTAGACATCGGTTTAGACACACGCCGCCGCGAATAATAGCTATTTCGTTAACTTCAACGTACGCGTGCCAGAATTGTTTTCTCGGTATTCCCGCGCTGGCAGTTGGTCTAGGCGCGACTCAACACCGAGTTTCATCAGCTTGACTATTTGACACTCGAAACTACCAAAGTGGTCAGAATGGCCAGTATATCTATATCTATAATTTTTCTAAACACGGCGCATCTTTATTCAAAGATTTAAATGATTTTTTGTAAAAAAGAATGAACGAATAAAGAGAGTTCCCTCCAAGTTTCTACTTTTTCTTTTTTCCACTTTAATGATGGAAATAATGGAAATTTTATACTTCAGTCGTCGATAGTTCTAGGCGTTAAAGAATGGATATAGATGTACGGTTGTGATGAAACGCGTGTTTCTGACTCTTCGGTAACGTTGCTCTCTTTCTTTCCGAGATCAATGTCGATGAAAAATCGACGAGGTGACATACGCTCATGTACGTACGTACGTACGTACGTCTGTCTCTTCGGATTAATCGAAACACACACGAGCGAGGAACGTACTTTTTCAGCTGTCCGATGCGACCGATGTGTAAGGCGTAGCGGTCCGGCCGATAGTCGAAATCGGACATGGTCCAAGGAGGAAGAAACACTATGCACGATCTAGTTCCGCGAGAGACGAGAGCGCGCGTGGTCGAATTAATTAGACGATCGCGACGACACTGGCCTCGAGCGACAACGGACTGTCGGTACGCTTCGGCAAAGTCAGCGTAGATCTCTGGCCGAAGGCCATCATATTAGACGGTAATTGTAAACTGGTTCGCTAAATTCCTTCCGCTAAATATCGTGCAATTATCTAACGCTGCGACCGAGAACGCGATCGAAATTTCCCTACCGTCGCTCCCTTCTTCTCCAGCCGCCGATTTCTTTGGTTCTCTAACTGAACCCTTTCGCCACGACAAGCGAATATAGTCGTTCATTATTTTGCACGCTCCGTATCTTGCTCTTCGCTGCGTCGATACTCATTGTGAGACGTTTCGCTGAAACTGTGTCGTTTCAAGTTTGTGCCTTGGTTTCGTTGTTTCTATAAATTTTAACTAAAGCATGAAATTTCCATCAGAGACACGTTGAAAACGAAATAAAAGAAACAGAGGGATTTCTGATATACGCATAACAGGGTGCACGAGCTTTTATTTATTTTGTGTGTTTTTCGAGTCTCCAAAAATACATCCAACAAACACTATCTATTCAATTGGCTATTCATTTTGACGATTTTGGCAGTTCTGGTGTGTCAATGTCAAAAGGGATTTCGTACCAGTCTCGAGAGAATCTCGAACGATGCATTTCGGCTCGTAGCGAAACAGTTAAAGAACACGTCGAAGAATACGGGAAATAGGATGCCATCGAAACGTTCATTCGATCGGTTGTTGACAACAAGTCGTCAGCGGTAATCCGAGCTCAATTCGATATATGAAAATCGTCGCTGGATTTCTTCGCGGCAGCGCGGCACATTTTAAATATACTTTCGTGTTTGATAATTCACGGATTATGGTCGAGAATTTGGATCATTACTCGTACTCGTGCGTAATTTTATTCTTGCATCTTACTCTACTATCGACTTACTTGTGCTCGTGTTTCTGGTGTCGTCGACATTTACGATCCTCGTCGTGGCTGCTGGCGGGCTCACCGACGCTCGTCGGCGCCTCGTCCTTCTTGACAGCGGGCACCTCCTCCTCCTTGATCTTCTCGAACTGCACCCGGGGACTGCCAATAGTGGGGCTCTCGCTGAAACCGCCAACGGAGGCGGCCCTCTCTGAAATCGGCGCCTCGCTCTCGCTGCTGACCACGTTCTCCGTGTCCTCGGTCGTCTCCTCATCGACATTCTGCACGCTGCTTGGCGACTGAACGCCGCCACCGGCGTCCATCGTGTCCGCCTCCTGACCATTCCCGCCGTTTTCCCTCAGAACCTGCCCGGTCTCCTCTTCCGGGCCAACCTCCGTCGTAGATCCTTCCCTGTGAACCGTGAATTTTCATTTGTTCACATCCTTTCATTAATCCCTTAACCTTTTGCGCTGGAATGACTCGAGAATTTTTTGTCCCCAAAATTGCAATATTTCCTCAGTTTTAAGTATACTTAAGTAAAGCAAAATAGGCAAAACAAATAATAAATTTGTTAATTTTTAATAATTTCTGTCCAGTGATATCGTACCGACGAGTTCAGAAGAAAAAGGAAGCGACGAATTATTGTATACGGTTCGGTCACTCGTTATGGTCCGCAATCAGTTGCCAGCGCAAGTGGTTAACCTCTTGCCACGCATGTCGAGAATTTTTTGTCCCCAAAATTGCAATATTTCCTCAGTTTTAAGTATATTTAAGTAAAACAAAATAGGCAAAACAAATAATAAATTTGTTAATTTTCAATAATTTCTGTCTAGCGATACCAAAGAGTACAAAAAGAAAGCGACGAATTACTGTATACGGTTTGGTCACTCGTTACGGTCCGCAATCAGTGGTTAACCTTTTGCGCTGGAATGACGTGCCGCGCACGTCGAGAATCTTTTTTATCCCCAAAATTACAATATTTTCTCAGTTTTAAGTATATTTAAGTATAACACAGGCAAAACAAATAATAAGTTTATTACTTCTCAGTAATTTCTATCCGATGATATCATACCGACGAGTTCAAAAGAAAAAGAAAGCGACGAATTATCGTATACGGTTCGGTCACTCGTTATGGTCCGCAATCAATTGCCAGCGCACGAAAAAATGGCTTTCGAGTACGCTCGAAAGGTAATTACAATTTGTTATAATTGAACTAAATTTTTCTGTGGAGAAGAAAACTTAAATATCTTGTAACTGAATTTTTCTGTGGAGAAGAAAACTTGAATATTTTGTAAATTTTGGACATTTTGAGACTAGACTTGACTACTTTTAAATATTTTCTTGCTATGATCACTCGTGTGTACTTCTATTGTGCGAAAGTCAATCTGGATATACAGGATAATTCACGTATAATTCGCACACTTGAAATTACGCATCTAATGAAAAATTGTTTAATACAAAAGTTGTATTTGTTTTAAGGGAGGTGAAATATGGCGTATCAATTTTTCGTGGGTTTCAAAATTTCCAAGGTCACTTTTAATTTTTTTTCGATTGGACCATGTATCTTTTTCATCTTTTTCATCGGAAGAATATTCAATTCCAAATAAAAAAAGTATTAAGCCATATTTGTCTTAAACTTATAATAGTTAAGGAAATTTTACGATAATTTATTCATTAGATCGAGACAAATTATTTATTAGACAAGCACAATTTAAAAATTATTTTAGGTGTGCAAGTTACGTGAATCACCTCTGTATACAAATTTCTGGAAAAATCATCATTCAGACGTTACTTGTTTGAACTCATTTTTGTTATATGAAAACAAATAATAAAAAATTAATGAATGTAAACTTCCTGCTAGAGTGACAAACATTTTCCAGATTACTTATCAAGCACATCGTCTTACTAAAACCGCACGAAGATGTTCGCTGTGTTCAAAAAATAATACACGAAAAAAAAACCTAGATATCAGTGCTCGACAATGCGAGGTACCATCATTGTGTCGCGCCTTGCTTCAAGAAATGTCATTCCGAAACAGTAAATTGAATTCCTCATTTGATCTTTTCGTTCAACAAGAAAATCACGAATGTCTACAATTTTGTAAATAATATTGATTAACTTAAATAAAATTCCAACTTAATCAACGCTAAGTTAAAATTTCATTATCAAAAATAAAATTATTTCTAAATATTTTTAATATTCTATCATCACAAATAAAATTTTAATTTAATTTTAACTCGACAAAATCCTTGATTGTTCAAAAAAAAAAAAAAAAAGCTAGTGTCGTTTCTTTACAATTTAATTCAATTTTACAGCAGCTGCACTCTAACGAGTATAATCCAGCGACACAATGTAAACTGCAACAATTTTAAAAAGTGGCCACCAAAGAGCCTCAGAAGAGGAGTAAACCGTGGAGATGACTTACGGTGAAAGATGTCGTCGCATAGATCTGCAATGAAGACTCTTCAGGGGCATGTGCGGATGGGGGTAGCTCCTTTTCCGATGCTCTGCAACAGAACCGATCGAGCGAGTGCGAAAAGGTGGAGGAACTCGTGGCCGCTTCCCCGAGTGGCTCGTTCAGTTGCGCAACAGCCGTAAAAATCGAATACGTGACATCGAATAAATCAACGCCGAGGGAAATAAAGTGAAAAATAATAGAGGAGGCGCAGGCCGATATTATATAAAGTACGAATATAGTTGTCGTGTCGCGGCGCGGTGCGATCGGGGAGGCGGTATTTCCTTAACCTTGGCTCGCCAAGATGAATATATCGAATTTACGTAACTGTTTCCCGTTCGCAGGATCGGAAACGATGAATTATTGCCGCTGTTGAAGTTACGCGGAGAAGCTACGTGCGCTCGCAAAAGTCGTCGCTTTCGCAAAACGAATTATTTATATTTAACACGTTGATCGTCGAAGTCGAGTAGATTTCCTGTGGCGGGGCCACAAAGCTTAAACTTGCCCCCTTAGGCAGTCCTCTTGATTTTTTTACTCTTTTGTTTTTTTATCCTTTTTTTTGTTATGCTTAGGACAGGTATCAGTTTGTCAAATTAGAAATTTTCACACATTTTTTGCATCCCTGTGTGATGACAGGCCATTCAGAGAATTTTGAATCACCTAAATTTTAGTCAGTTTTATTCCAAACGTGTTCCCCGATGCATCACTATAATATTGGAGAACATATAGTTCTACACAATATAATAATAACTACTGTATTATACAATATTATGTTCTATATAATACAGTAATGATTATTATGTATTTTTATTGTAAATAAAGTATGAGAAGTTATGACTTCAAAATAATTTAATAATTTACTATATTATTAGTACATTGCTATTCTGATAATTTGATTTAATTTAATTAATGTATTTACTACTACTAATTTAAGTAGTAAATAGTGTACTAATTTAAGTAGTAATTTACTACTATTTTACTACTAATTTACTTTAATTTAATTTAAGTAATTTATTACTAAGAAGTCGAGTATGGATTATTCAGAGAATTTACAACAGAGGTTCCCAAATTTGTTAGTTTTGTTTAAAATATTCTCTACTATGTCACTATATATAGGAGAACATTCAACAGTTCTATATAATACAATAATAACTATTGCTTTATCCAATAATATCTATTATATTATATAATACCTATTATATTACATTATATATAATAATAACTATTATGTAATTTTATGTGAATAAAGTATAAGAAATTATGACTTCTTCAAAATCATTTAATAATTTACCATATTATTACACTGCTATTTTGATAATTTGATCTGTTTTAATTTAAAAGTAATTTACTGCTAAGAAGTAATATAAACCATTCAGAGACTGTACAACACAGATCCCTAAATCTCAGTTAGTTTTGTATAAAATATTCTCTGATATAGAAGCACACATGCTTCTATATAATAATAACCATTATGTATTTTCAAATACAATGTACAACCACATTTTTATTTACTACTTGTATTTAAAGATACAATGTAGTAGTAAATACAATATGAGAAGTTACGACTTCTTCAAAATAATTTAATAATTGCACTGCTATTCTGGTGATTGGATTTGCTTAATTTAGAAATAAAACAAATTTACTAACAATTCTCCATTTCTCTTCATTCTTGCCTTGAAATTTTATAAATAAATGGCAAAACTCGACTGTCGCACAAATACGGCGATCAACGTGTTAAACGCGGGACGAATAATTGACGTACGGTTGAAGTCGCGTTCTCCATATCGCGACGGTGGTGCTCGCTCTCGGTCTCGATCGGATCCAGCCGATTCGGATGGCGAACCGAGCCGGGCTACGTCGAACTTCTCCCCGGTGTCCATCGCGAAGACCTTCTCCATCTCCTCGTCGAGCTCCGGTCCCGTTTCCGCGCCATGACCGTCGACCTGGCGTGCAAACAGAAAAGAAAGAACATCACTTCCAAGTTTTTTCAAACCTTTGTAACTGTGAAAAATTGTCGACAATTAAAATTTGCATAAAACGATCGTGCATTTGGTCCTGTCTCGAAGCTCGAGGGCTTTTGCTTTGACGATCAGTGAGAGTTGGTTTCATTCGAAGCGAGGTTATTTTTTGTTTTTTTTTTCTCTCGAAAATTGTCAAGATTCAAAATTCTTCAATTCCAATTTTCAATCGGGATTTCGAAGAAACTGAAACTTTATAATTTCAATTTTTTTTAAAAATTCTTTAAAACTCCAATTTTATTAATTAATTAATTCCAATTTCAATCGTGGAGACTGAGATTTTCTGTTTGCAACGTCTTCACACTCGCTTTACAACTTTCTTTTTTTAACATTTTCTTGAACCTCGAAATGTTAGGGTTTTCCGAATTTTTTTAAATTCAATGATGACATTCAATAAAATGACAATGTTAAATAAAACAATGGGGAAAAAATAGTACAACCAGTTACAAAAGGAGAGTTCAATCTTTGAAACATTCTGCGTACAACGTTGAATTTTCAAAATTTTCGAAGCAAAACTAGCTGCGCGATTAGATAAAGTTATCCTTGAAAAAGAAAAAAACCTAACTCACGCCTTATCTTGCGTCGGAATGACATGCCAATTTTTTGTCCCCAAAATTGCAACATTTTCTCATTTCTAAGTATATTTAGTATATTAAGTATAGGCAAAGCAAACAATAGATTTATTACTTCTCAATAATTTCTATCCAGTGATATCATACCGACGAATTCAGAAGAAAAAGAAAGCGACAAATTATTGCATACGGTTCGGTCACTCGTTATGGTCCGCAATCAGTTGCCAGCGCGAGTGGTTAACCTTTTGCGCTAGAATGACGTGCCACGCACGTCGAGAATTTTTTTGTCCCAAAATTGCAATACTTTTTCAGTTTTAAGTATATTTAAGTATAGGCAAAGCAAATAATAAATTCATTACTTCTCAATAATTTCTATCCAGTGATATCATACCGACGAGTCCAAAGAGGAAGCGAGGATTTATTGAATACGGTTCGGTCACTCGTTATGGTCCGCAATCAGTTTGCCAGAGCGAGTGGTTAAAAGGAGACCGAATGAGTTCTTTTTTTACAAAGTTACATCGACAATTTTTCGCTGTCGCTGGTACAATTATAAACCTTCGCTGTAAACTCGGTTTCTCTCGTTCATTCTCTTTCACCAGGAAAGAGCTTTTCTCGTACAAAATAGCGAACAATGACTAGTTCCATTTTACCAATTTGATTCCACATCAAAGACAAGGGGAATTTTCTCTATCGATCGTAGCTCAAGTGTCCCGTCAAATTTCAATTAGTTCGTCGTCGAGGATGTTTTTTTTAACGAGACCGCTGTTAGCGTTATTATAGGCATAAATGGATAATATCGATCTATTGTGTCGAGACCCTCGAGACAACTTTCGAGCTCTCAATCAGCCGACACCATAATTTCTCCTCTGATAAACGCCGCGTTGGAACTTGAACAATCTCGAGTTCGAAAGCCGATTCAGACGAAACCCTCGTGAAATCAAGCTCTCACTCGAATCTCATCCTGCGTACGACGTTCATTCGAGGTTTATCTCTCGAGTTACAAAGACTTCTCTGCCATAGGCAGGAGGGTCGGAAAATTTCGATCGTTCATCGTACACCTAAAGAAAGACCTTCACTTCGTCTCGGTTAAAGAAAAGAATCGCCCTTTTATTTTCGAGTAAAAGCGGATACATAAGAGAGATTGAATGTCTATTCGCGATTCGAAAAGAGAAATTGGCTGAGAGCGATATACTTTCAAGCCGGAACCGAGAGAGATATTTGAATGGAAGTGCGTGATCGCCCTTTCCTCGATCTACCCGCTTCTACACTGCGCGAGACGGAATCCTCTCGCGATAATGGTGACCAAAAGTGCGGCAAGGGAATGGAAATTAATTTATTAACGATCGCTAACACCGGCCTAACACGCGACCAAGGATCGCATGGAAGATTGGCACGTTCGCACTGCGTAAGTCGCGACCATTCGAATTACGTCACACCGTGAATGTCAGATCGCGATCTCGCGAGTCTTGGACTTTAAAATCGGACGATCCAGCGCGGAGAGAGAGAGAGAGAGAGAGAGAAAGAGAGCGCAATAAGTTTTACTTGTAAAGTTACTGGAATCATTAAAAATACGCTGTTTTACATCTATCAGAAACATTAACCACTTGCGCTGGCAATTGATTGCGGACCGTAACGAGTGACCGAATCGTATACAATAATTTGTCGCTTTCTTCTTCTATTGAACTCGTCGGTGCGATATCACTGGATCGAAATTATTGAGAAGTAATAAATTTATTATCTGCTTTGTCTGGATTATACTTAAATATACTTGAAACTGAGGAAATGTTGCAATTTTGGGGACAAAAAAATCCTCGACGTGCGTGGCACGTCATTCCAGCGCAAGAGGCTAAAGTAAAAGGAAATTTCATTCGTACATTCAACGAAAAGTCAGTCGAATCACTAAAAATACTGTTACTCGAGAATCGTGTGCAAACACTCGCGTATGCGACGAAGAGGACGAGAGCGAAATTCGAACAGATCGTAGAAAATCCGAGAGATAAGACACGTCACAGACGAGTTCACTGGAGAACGACGATTCATCACTCGGATTCAGGCGGGGAAGGAGGTGAAAAATCGGCGAGATGGGCGAGCCAGGTTATCACCATTGGGAAAGGAAGACCGACCGCGTGACAGACGCGAACACACAGGGTTATCACCTGGTGGCTGGTCCGCAGGGAGCGGCGTAACCAGCGGAGAACCTTGCCCGACGCCCGTTGAAGGAACGACTTTCCGGAAGAATTAGCGGCGGCCTCGGGCATGGCATCCCGGGCCGAAGTGACACTTGTGCGTTCAGCCGCTAGCTCGCTCGACTCGGCTTGGCTCGTGCTCGCAGCTGGTGAATCCAAACTGTGACGGAGAGGGCAGAGGAGAGCGCAGGCACCGGCCGCCAGACAGAGAGCCGCAGATGCCAGATGGAGGGGATGGCCGCGCTGTGTTAGGGGTGGTGGGCTACCGCGCCGAGCACCTCCGCCGGTCGATATCAACCCCATACGCTACCCCGTTGTTGCGACCGGACCGATCCTCCCGAAGGTTACCCTCCCTCCTCCTCCGCCCTCTCGCGCGTGCTGTTTTCCCTCAGGCGCTGGACCCGGCCTGTTAACCTCTTGCGCGCTGGAATGACGTGCCACGCACGTCGTGAATTTTTCGCCCCAAATTACAACATTTTCTCAATGTTAAGTATATTTAAATGTAACCCAGGCAAAACAAATAATAATTTTATTACTTTTCAATCATTTCTATCCAGTGATATCATACCGACGAGTTCAAAAGAAAAAGAAAGCGACAAATTGTTGTGTACCGGTTCGGTCACTCGTTATGGTCCGCGAACCAGCTGCCAGCGCAAGGGGTTGATCGTGATATTATTATCTAATGTTTACACATTTATTTACTATTTAATATTTACACATTAGTAATTGCTAGTACTTACTATTTAGTATTTACAGTATTTTAACCCATCATTTTTCCTCGCACATTAATCTCTTGCGCTGGAACGACGTGCCACGCACGTCGAGAATTTTTTGCCCCGAATCGCAACATTTTCTCAGTGTTAAGTATATTTAAATGTAACCCAGGCAAAACAAATAATAATTTTATTACTTTTCAATCATTTCTATCCAGTGATAGCATACCGACGTGTTCAAAAGAAAAAGAAAGCGACAAATTGTTGTGTACGGTTCGGTCACTCATTATGGTCCGCGAACCAGCTGCCAGGGGTTAATCGTCATATTATTATCTAATGTTTACACATTTATTTACTATTTAATATTTACACATTAGTAATTGCTAGTACTTACTATTTAATATTTACAATATTTTAACCCATTATTTTTCCTCGCACATTAATCTCTTGCGCTGGAATGACGTGCCACGCACGTCGAGAATTTTTTGTCCCGAATTGCAACATTTTCTCGGTGTTAAGTATATTTAAATGTAACCCAGGCAAAACAAATAAAAATTTTATTACTTTTCAATCATTTCTATCCAGTGATAGCATACCGACGTGTTCAAAAGAAAAAGAAAGCGACAAATTGTTGTATACCGGTTTGGTCACTCGTTATGGTCCGCGAATTCGTCATTGCATCGATCTTCCCGATCTCGCGATTCCACGCCTTTGAAGAAATTACGAGAGCTATTGCTTTTTTGCGGATTCTAGCCAGAGAGAGAGAGAGAGAGAGAGAGAGAAAATTTGAATTCTGTTTCTTTTTTATCTTCGCTATTTAACCTCTTGCGCTAGTAACTGGTTCGCGGACCATAACGAGTGACTAAACCGTACACAACAATTCGTCTTCTCTTAGAATTCATCGGTATATCACTAAATAGAAATTACTAAGAAGATTACTTGATAAATTTATTAGTTATATTTCGATATACTTAAAACTGAGAGAATATTGCAATATTTCGGCCAAATATTCGCGACGTGCGTGGCACGCAATTCCGGCGCAAGAGGTTAATGTCGGATCAATCGCTTGCACGGCTTATTGACGACTTGGAAACTAAATATTACGATTTATTATATAAGTTGCGTCGTCAGATATTATTTTCATTGAAGTCGAATCAACCGCTTGCGTGTGTTAATGGCTACTTGAAACTAAATATTACAATTTATTACGTATGTAGGTTGTGATAGTGTGTTCTAAACTGTTCTAAAATTGATTTTTTTATCCTTTGGATAATTATTTAGGGAATATGTTCTTCTTACGAAGAGTTATTAGCGATTTGGAATTTATTATATAGGTTAGACTATTTCAGAAAACTTCTTTTCTCATTTTCATTGTTTAAAGTCGCATTATATAAAACCGCTAGCGTAAACGGATTAATTTATTTAATTTAATTTAATAATTTAGTAAATTTAATTTAATTTATATAATTTATATAGTTATATTTTATATAATTTAAAGAATAATTATAATAATTTATCATATAGGTTAAATTGTTTCCCTTGGGTTCTCTTTCAGCGAAAGACTTATGTAACCAGTTAATGTATTTTCTGTACTATATATAATAACACGTCAATTTTAGACAAATCACAAATTGGAGAATCTTCTTCATTGAAAAGATACTGGCGAGTTTTGCATTTTTCTCGCCCTGAGTTATAATCCTTATAAGATTACAACTCAGTCGTGTCTCGACTAGAGAACATAGAGAACTGTATTCATAAAAGGATCATTTCTAATCGTTGATCTACCATTTACGATGTGACGAAGATTTTTGTTCGTTGTTCCAGCTTCCTTTGATTTTTCTGTCTCTAAACTAAGTACAGAGTAGATGAAAGCAAGCTGTTGGTGTAATGATCGACGACAGAGGTGAGTTGAATTTTTCTATCTTTCTTTTTCTCGAAAGGGAAACCGAATTCCCTCACAAATCAGGCGCGTGAACGCGACGAAATTAGGTCCGCGGACCGTCGGCCCCGGGGACGCGAACTCTTCGAAAACGAGCGTGCCGAAAAATAGCTGGCCATTGGTCGACGCAACAAGTGTCGGTCGACCGTGAAATCTACCCTCTGAAGCTGCTCTCTCTTTCACGGACCGATGACGGAAGTAGATGGGAAGAAGGAGGAAACTCGAGGAGAAAGGGGGAATCAACCAGTCAGAGAAAGAAAAAAAAAACCGCGAGCGAGAGTGAGAGAGAGAATGTCAGCTGGAGATGCAGCTGGCAGACAAGCGAACCGGACCAGCGCAACTTGGTCGAGACCTAGATGGGAAGCTTATCGATCAGCACGGGGGGGATGGATGTTGGCTCGTGATACCTCTGCGTTTCGATTCGAGCGCCTCGAATGGCGGTTCAATTCGAAAAGGGACGGATTCAAGCAATTGAAAGAAAGTGAAATACATTCACACCCTCTTACGATACGATTAATTCCTCATAATCGCGTTACAAGAAACTCGAAATTAGTGCAAAGCGGATTAATTATAATTAATATAATAAAATAATAATTATAATATAATATAATATTATTAATATAATATAATATAATAATATTAATATAATATAATACAATTTGATATAAGTGAAACTCAGAGGTATGTAATATATTATATTTGACCACCCTGCGCTGGTTCGCGGACCGTAACGAGTGACCGAACCGCACACAATATAATATAAATATATAATGATTTAGGAATTATTGATATTGCTAATTATATTTATTAATAATGTGAATAAATATTATAGGTAATTTATAGTTAATTTATTTGTAATTCAACCCTTAAATTCATTCTTTATCCATATCTCAACCGTGAAAGTATAATAAAAACATTCACGCTACAAGAAGGCTGTTTAAGATAATTAAGTTGAAGGGTCATTTTCAATGAAATAAAGCTCTGACATTTTACCTTAAATCTTAGTTTTCAACCCTTTCACTCTTCACCCATATACCAATCGTAAAAATTCATGCTATGTTTAAGAACTGTTTAAGCTGATTAAGTTAAATATTACATGGAAACGGCGTTGTAGGAGGGTTTTACCGTAAATTATGGAAAGATGCACAGTTGAGGGCGAGGTTGAACGTCAACCGTCCGTCACGTTAACCACCGCCGACGAATACGTCGCTGGTTTCCGCGAACGTCCAATCAAAGTCAACCGACTGCATTATTAATCGAACGCATCGGCCGCACACAGCTGCGGTTTAATAAATTTATCGAGCCGACAGACATCACGACGCGAGGTACGACCGATCAAGGAATCAGTCAAAGGCGATTTGCCCAAAAGGTTATCGCTATTTCCGGAACGAATCGATTTGCTGCTGCAAACCGTTTTTCGAAGGATCGAGCAACGACTTTGAGCGACAGCCGAACCGCTGAATAATTCGTATTCGAACAGCCTAAGTCCGAGACCAACTGCAATATTTAACCATTTAGAAAGTTAAACGTACTCGCACCTTGTGTATAGGGTAGTCCGTTTAATGCTAGAACCACCAAAATGGTCAAAATGGTTGTTTGAATATTTTTGTTAAGTACTTTATACTATATTATGCTACAGTATAATATACTACACTATAAATATAGTATACCATAATATACTATACTATAAATGTAGTATACCATAATATACTATACTATGATATACTATACCATAAATGTACTATACTACGATATACTATACAATAAATGTAGTATACCATAATATACTATGCTATAAATGTAGTATACCACAATATACTATACTATTAATGTAGTATACCACGTAATAACTATACCATAAATATGGTATACCACAATATACTATACCATAAATATGGTATACCACAATATACTATACCATAAATATGGTATACCACAATATACTATACCATAAATATGGTATACCACAATATACTATACCATAAATATGGTATACCACAATATACTATACCATAAATATGGTATACCACAATATACTATACCATAAATATGGTATACAACAATATACTATAATATAAATATGGTATACCATAATATAGTATACTATATTGTATAGTATAATATACTCTACTATATAGTATACCATAATATACTATATATAGTATAGTATAATATGCTATACTATAGTATAGTATAGTATAGTCCAGTATAAAGATAAGTACACTAATAGACTATACTATAAAACAGTGTGTTTTTGGAGACTTGAACGATTCTCCGTAAAATAGGTACATAAAGAAAAGCTTGTGGACCATATTGTATCAACCCTATGTATTGTGAACCCGAAAGCTGCGCGTCTTATAATCGCGTTGTCAGACGCTACTGCCAAAGCAACGAATCCGTAGCAAAGCGGAAGAATCGAGAGCACGAGTGCGAATCGCGCGTTTAAACGGGCGATTAACACGTTCGAGACGATGTCAGTCTCCGCGGACCGACGCCCCATTATTCGTTTAGTCGACGTCGGCCCCGCGGGACCGATGCCCCATTATTCGTTTAGTCGATGTCTGACACTTTAGTCGAATCTGAGAAATACACTTTTTTTTTATAATACAAAAAAATAATATAATATAATATAATAATAATATATAAATACACTCGATATTTGTAATATAATATTATAACATAATAAAAATACTGTAACATAATATAATATATAGAATACAATATAAACTATAATATATAGAATATAATAAAAAATATATATAATAAAAAAAACTATAATATATAGATTATATTGTTCTGTCTCGAACGCGTTAAAAAAAGAAAAGGAAAAAAACGTTGAAGAGAAGGGTGGCCGGCGGACAGCCAGAGATGGCGCTGCACCGTGGCCGGAAAAGTGGAAGGAAAGAGGTCTTTTCCCAGCATCGACCGGGCCGGGGCTTTCTCCTCTCGTCAACCACTCTCTATCCCTCTCTCTCTCTCTTTCTCTTGTCGCTGCACGCGCTCGCGCGTTCCGCACGCACACATATCTCGCTTCCTGCTCCCGTGACCTTGAACCTGAACCCACGAACTCGCGTCGCTTTGTCTCTTCCCTCTCTCTGCCTACCCTTCTCTCACTCACTCTCTCTTTCTCTCTCACTCACTCTCTCAAGCGCGAAGAAAATCGATGCGACGCGGCGTTTGTTGTTATATTATACACACGCGGTTCGTGGCTTCGACGAATGTGCCCCGTTTTTTTCTTTCTCTTTCACACAGAGAGATTCAGAGAGCTGTGAAAAATCTCTCGATGCCGTTTTTTTTGCGAGAGAAGGGAAGTTTCATTCACTTGGATGATAATCGAAGCGCCATTGAGGCGAATTCAATTTTGTCGATGCTAGGAATCGATAAAGCGACTGTTATTGTGTTCCGATAGGTCAGCCTGACGTCGGTTGACGTCGATCGTCAACGTTCGACCATTTTAACTTTAACGAGTACACTCGTCGCGGACAAGCTTTCCTAGCATAAAAAAAATGAAGAGTAATCACCGTTCGTTGTTTGAATTTTCAGCGAAAAAAAAAAAAAAAAGAAAAAATGAAATGCGTACGCAAGTTTCGCGAATTTTAAAATATTTTGAGGTTGAAAGAACGAGATAAAATGAACTTGCTTCGACTCTCGATTATATATTTAATCTCGTTGGCTGTACACGACGAGTACACTCTTTTTAATCTTGCAAAAGCAATTTTTAATTATGCAGGGCATGCTGTTTAAATTAAAATTTTAACGAAAAATGAGAGACGATATTCGTAAATTTCAGGAACTTCAAAATATTTAAGAACGAGACAAAATGAACAAACAAAAAAATGTAAACAGTTGCTCGAAGAAACTGTACGCAACAGAAAAGGGAGACTAAAAAATATTGCAAAAAAGTTTAAAAATTATTCCTTCGCTTTTCAGATGTTGTTTGTTTGAATTTCTTATAATTATACGAGGAGAACAATGGGAAATTGGGAAATGTTCTAATTTCTTACTGGAATTCATTAAATCATATTCAATTCAAGATGTAAAGTCAATAGATGCATCGTCAGTTTGGTCGAGAAGCTATAATCAAAGCTATACGTCTAATCTGAAAATTTTCAAGGAACATATTCCAAGCACGTCGTCGAAAAGTAATCCTGCGTGAAGATGTTATTCGGAAAGCTTCAATCAAAAAAGATATCGGTGCTTGACTTGTGGAACTTTACACTGTGAAGTGCCATCATCGTACCTAACTTCAGATTAGCAGACTGTTAAATTTCTGACTTGGAGTTGGACAATACTTTTCCAAGAATTTGATTTCTCTTATTCTCCTCTTTAATATGCTAACTATGCATAGTAAAGTAAGTGATAGAAACAAATCCGACTAATAGAATTAAAATTTTAGATTTTACAAAAAGAAGAAAAAGAAGTAAATAAAACAGCCATTTCACTGCAGCTTATGTACTCTGTGTTTAACAAGTACACACGTCATCTCTTCATTCTTCTTTGCGACACAATTTAGGTATTGGTAACACCCTTCTAACCTTTTGAATTCATATGTCACGCTGGAAGTGACAAAATTTGCTATAAAACTCGCGGAGATAGCAATAGAAATTTACTATAAAACTCTGTCTTATGATAAACTTCTTTTTGTTACATGTCCCATAAATTCGTATGTTTCATATAAAATTTCGCGTAATAACAATAGAGTGAAATCAACAACTCAAATTTGTAGTTTAGTGGATAGATTTCGGGAACAGAAAAAAAAAAAAAGAAAACGTGGTAGACAACTGACGTCAGATTTGAAAAATCTATTTGATGAAAAACTACCTTTATTTTAATACCCCATTCGCAAGGGGAACATAATAATCGTACGGTTCCCATTCAAACAGAAAAACTAAAGGCGAAAGGAAGACAACAACAAAGTTCATTTTTGCGAAACACGCGAGAGGCATCCTCTCTTACATGTTGCAAATTGTTTCAAAAGTCGCACTTTAAAAAATTATAGAAAGTAAATTATATAACAATAATGACTATACTGTAATAAAGAAACCAGATTAAATTTCACCGTTGTACGTTAATTTACCTTAAAATAATTCACCTTGGATGCAACTGAACGAGCAAAAGCAAAAACAAATCCAGTTCAAAGGGTTGAAATAGGGCACGGCACAATAAAGCTAACACGTTAATAGGCACTGGTGGTTGGAGTGTTGGTTTCACGTGTTGGAAGACGTCGACATTTTGTTTACACTTGCCCGACGGAGGTGTTAGGTTCCCTTTAGGGTCGAGCCGAAAGGTCGAACGACATAAATACATGTCCGGTTCGGCAGATCGACGTCGCAAAAATAAAACCACCGATGTTTCTCGATTCGCTTGGCAGCTCGTTGACCTCCGTCGTCGACCACTTTCGCGTTTCCGGACATTTCCGGGTTGCGTCTCGGTATTTTCGCGGTCGATCCGCCGACGAAAACTCACGGTCAACGTAATTTCACGCGCTTGTCCTTACAAACGCGACTAACAATCTTCCAACAGTTGTTGTTGTTATCGTGGAAAAGTAGTCCTACGTTATTTCAAAATTGACGCCACTTCTGGTCATAATGTTATTGTTAAACTTGTTAAATTGTTAATATGTTTTCATTTATAATATATATTATATTATATTATATTGGGAAGAATATCTAATAAGAAATGGGCTGAGTAAACTCGGGTTGGAACAGGAAATAAAGAAAGGAAGAAGCGGCAAAGAAATAATAGAGAACCTGAGAAAGAGAGATATGGAAAGACAGGGCCAAGTGCAGCACAACAAAATACAAAAATCAAGGTACAATGAAAGATACAAACACATCCAGACAATAGGACTACCAGAATATCTAAAGAAACTAGGAAACGGAAAAAGTCAGCAGCTAATGGCCCAAGCTAGATGAGGATGCATGGAAAAATGGAATCAATACTGGGAGGACGAAGAGAAAAGGAAGTGCGAGTTCTGTGAGGACACTCCAGGACTGCAGCACCTGGTGAGAGACTGTAGGGTAACAAGCAGAAAGGTAAATCTAGAGGACATCCTGAGAGGCAAAAGGAATGAAAAAACGGAAAGATGGCTAGAAGAAATCAAATGGGAAAAAGAAGCAAAATCAAGGAGGCCAGAAAGAGGAGAACTAAAAAATAGAAAGTGAGAAGACAACCAAACGCGGGTAAAGGAAATATGCAGTACATTCGTAAACAATTAGAGCAATAAGGTAGAAAATAAAAGGGTAATCTAGGATAAGCGAAAGAGGAGTTGGGTAATACAATCGAGGTTAAATTGTTAAGTATAGCATAAAAGTATAGTGTAGGTTAGTGTAAATTGTAACAAAAGTATAGGGTAAGTAGAGTATAAAACAGATATGAAGAGTGAAGAGCGAGAGTGAGAGAAACAGAGAGAATGAAAAAAGAGAGAAATGTAAACCAAGTCCACTTTCATGGCTGTGAAGCCGAAAAATAAAATTATCTATATTATATTATATATTATATACTATATTATATTTCAAGTTGTTAGGAAATACCACACAAATTGTCACGTAAAGTAAATATGTAAAAATGTTACTACAAGTTAATTAGTAAATTAGTTAATTAGCAAATTAGTAAATTTTATGCACCTGTAAATTCATCATATTCATTTTATCGAAGAGAAGTATTTTTTTCTATACGCATTTGTAATGTCTAACTTTTTAAAACTCTGAACAACAAGTGACCATAAGTATCATGACTGAGATGTGATATTTCTTATATCCACATATCTACAATTAGCAGACAGCCTTAGCTACAGACTTTTGGAAATTATATGCCATATTCAGCTAAACGTTCGCCCGTCGGGAAACTGCTAATTATCCGCTCTTGTTTCTTTTCCGGTGCGTTTCCTATCCGACGGACGCTCACGGAGGACCTCACTCGGCCAGCTGTTAAAAATAACGTCCCTCCGATGATCCGTGTTCTTATTATCGACCTGACCTTCTTAACAATCTCCTACTCTGCCGCTGCACCTTTATCGCACGCATTTGCAGCCAGTTTCTCGTTTTAATCCTCCCCCCCTGAGTAGACACGCAGAATTTTTTTTTGTTTTTTTTGCAACGATCAACTGTTTTTTACAATTTCTACGAAAAGTTATTTTGTGGCTGGTTGATTTTGAATCTTGTCAGCGAACTGATGGGGAGAGGGAGCTGGGAGGGGGGATGAGAATCGTTCGAAGGTGATATTTTAATTAATATTAATAATATAAATTTATAGATAATTAAATTTAAAATTTTCAAATTTTCAAACTTTAAAAATTAAATATGAAATTAAATAACGACATTTAAATGATAATTAAATTTAAAATTTTCAAATTTATAATAATGTAAATTTATAGACAATAATATAGTAAAATTAAATGATAAATTGGAATTGGACACCCTTATTATATTAACATAAAATAATATTTTTGTCATTAAATGTAATCATTAAAATAAAATAATATGGCGGCCTTTTAATCTTTTTCGAAAAATTTGTTGTTTAATTTGATAATACACTTAAATTTTATTCACGCATTGTGTTAGTTATCCGGGACGAGAATCGTTCGGAGGTTAAAACTGTAATTTCAATAGCCGGCAAGAGGCTATCGAGCTAACCCTTTAAACTGCCGCGAACTCGGCTGGCCGGAGGCGATTGCGAGGCGTTGTGCTTGGGACGAGGCTTTCGCAAATGGAATTCGGTCCACGGGTCTAAATTTACGTTAGCCCCCCCCAGACCTTGAACTTTACCAAGGTCTTTGCCGTGACGATAATAGAAGACCCGCGGTGACACCAGGAAACCACTAGGAATCACGAAAAAAAAAAAAAGAAAAAAAAACAACGTGCCCGCCGGAGTTCAAGAAAAATAAAAACGAGGAAAAAGATAACGTGCATCGGAAAGACAAAAAGGTATACTTTTTCTGTGTAGAAAATATTCTAATTTTCTGTGTAGAGAGAAGGATGGAATAATAGGCGCGAATGTTTGACACGTGGTTGGAATAGTCTCGCGTATAAAGAGGAAGGAACGAAGAATAAAGAGGACAGAATAAGTCGGTAGTCACCTTGACGGTTGCAGGGGCTGTCACCATCGAGCAAATCTTCCTTCGGTAGAACGACACGCAGCAGCATATTCCCATAAAAGCTAACTGCCAGCAGCTCCCGCGGAACGTTGTCGCGTAATCGAACCTTTATGACACTGCGGCCACGATTCACTAGCCGGTCTTGTAATCAAATTTACGGCTTCCGGCCTTGCGTAAGTGCACCCCGATGCACCCGGATCTACCTCCCATCGAGCAACACATCGCCAACGACTTAAGAAGCAACGGTTATCCCCCGACGCGTTTAACCTCTTGCGCTAGTAACTGGTTCGCGGACCATAACGAGTGACCAAACCACGTAATTCTTCTTGAATTCATCGGTATATCACTGGGTAAAAATTACTAAGAAGTAATAAATTTATCATTTGCTTTGCCTGGATTATATCTCAATATACTCAAAACTGTGAAAATATTGCAATTTTCGGCCAAATATTCTCGACGTGCGTAACACGTCGTTCCAGCGTAAGAAGTTAACGCGCCAAAACGATTCTCCCTCCCGCGGCCCGCGGCCATTTTGCCGAATCTTTCGAATTTCATTGGTCGCTCGTGCGACCAATTGAATTTAAATCTTATTCGATAGTTTTTTGTATACAGGATGATTCGTGTGATGAACTTGCACACCTGAAATAACTTCAAAATTATGTCTCTAACGAGAAGCTGTTTGATACGATAAAGCTGTATTAAATGGTTTTAAGGGACGTAAAATATGGCGTATTAATTTTTTGTGTGTGGTGAGGGGTTTTGAAATTTCCGAAATTTCAAGGTCTATTTTTTTTTTTAGTTGGACTATATACATATTTTTTTTCTTCGAATCGAAAGAATATTAAATTCCAAACAAAAAAGTATTAAGCCATATTGGTCCTAAACTTGATCAAGGAGATATTTTACGATAAAGTTATTTCAGGTCTGCAAGTTATGTTAATCACCCTGTATACAGTGTTTACTATATAGTATTTAGTGTTTTATTATGTAGTATAAAGGAGTCATCTACGACAGTTTCTCAAAGTGTGAGAAAGGAGGTCGCAGAAATTTTAGCATAACTAATAAGTTCCTGGACGTGCAACGATCGAAAATTTCAATTCAAAACCAGTTTGCCGTCAAAGCTCAACCTTCAAACTTAACCTTTAATGTACTTCTATGTATCAACTGAATCAAAAAATATCAGCAGTCAGTTAATTCAAAACCATTCAATTTTTTGTCACAAAATATCAATTGCAACAATCAATTAATTCAAAACCATTCAACAATTTTTACCATACGATTAATTAATTGTTTCGAATATTTCAACTTCCAATCTTAGGTGACACCCGGTATATGTTTCATCGAGATTTTTACATCTCCCATATGTTTCTACGTCAATGTTTCATGCATATAGAAAAATTGCAATCTATTAGGTAGTGTTGAGCTTCGACTTTAATAAATATCATCGTCGAACTTTTGTTTTTCTAGTTTTATGCGAAATTCAAAGCACAAATGGCGATTTTGTCCAAAATTTAATGTACAACAAACGGTTGCTCTTGACAATTTCTCACAAAGGATTATTCGAGAAACTGTCGACGATCGAAGTTCTTTCGACCGATTGCCACACGATCTTATTTTTCTTTTTTTCTTTTTTCTTTCAATCTCCTTGAAAATACAAGGTAACAATCATCGAACGACGTCCTCGACGTAAGACGATTTCCTGACAAATTTGTCAGAGCAGTTGACAGATAATTGGCTAGGAAACATGTCAAATCGCTTTTCATCGTGTATTAACGCGAGCCGGCACGACTCGCCCGTGATTATCGATTTCCGTTGATGGAAGAACTCGAATGCCAGAAATTCCAAAGTCGCGCAGAGCGTGACACAGAGAGACGACAATCGATCCTCCTTTCCTCTCTTCTTCGAATCGGCTTTGATTCGCGATCAGCCCCGGTCAGGAACGGGGTTAGGAAAGCGAAGAAGAATTTTAACGCGGCTGTTTATCTCGCTGCACGTTTCTCGAAAACATTTCTCGGTAACGTCTGACTCACTCAGAATTTACCAGTTGGTAAAGAGGATCGAAACCATCGGCGCGCGAATGTAATCAACGCGCATCTGGATTTAATTCCACGAACTTATACAAGCAACGCGCCGAGTAAATGTTCTCTCCTTTTTTGTCACTCCAACTCGAATCCGAGCTCGTTTTGGTAAAATCTCGCAGATGCAGTGACTCTCATTGACGTTGGAGTTATCAAAGTCATAATTAGTCGAAGTGACTAATGAATTTGTAATTTTTGTTAGAAATTTTGTAGACACGAAACAGATCTATTTCTGGACGTTTGAATGATTCTTCGTAAAATTATACAAACAGAAGTTTGTATTCTTTATTGTATTATAAAGATTTTCTATTTTCTTTTTTTTTTTTTCTTTAATATATGTCTCTGATAGAAATTTTCCAGTATTAATATTAAAGTATTGAAATTGTTAGGATTTTGTAAAAACAAATCGTGCAAGTTCCATTTCATTCCAACAATAAGATGTTTGCGTAATGGCAAAGTGAAGACACTTTTCTTCTCAAAAATGTTCCAAATGTGTAAAATCATAATTATGTAAATATTACATACTACTACATAGTGGATATATGAAAACACAATTGCTTCTTCTCTACCAAGATCAAGTTGTAATCTCAGGGATCATAACGAGCCACAAAAATACAAAATTCACCCACCAGTAATCTCTTCGACAAAGAAGATTTCTCCACTTGTAATTTGTGCAAAGTTCAATTGATAGTGGAACATATTACTGTCCAATGCAGAAAATAGACATAAGTCCTTTCCTGAAGAACAACCTAGAGGATAAAGAATCAATACTACAACTAATACACCTAACCTATATATAACAATAAATATCACAATAAACCTAACCTATATATTACATTATATATTGCAATAAATATCATAA